TTTTTTCATGCATATTTTGATTTCACCACCAACTATTTTTACTTTTAAGAGTTTTTTCATTTGATACTCCAAGCACATATTTTGTAATATTCATAATACCACTAGTTATTTTTTCCACATAACATTAGCTTATTCATGTATAGTCAAAATCTTCGGATCATAAATCTTACTCTAAAAATATTTATGTTAGTATTTTTTAAATGACATAATCTAATCCTATAATAATATTTTACTTTATATTTTATATTCTGCCCCTTCATATTAAAGAATAGAACTAATTAGTGATATTGAGCACATAAATTTTCACTCAAAATGACTTTATAATCTTTATATTCTAAATGATTCATTTTTATTATTAAAAATAATCAATTTGAGTTTTACTATTTATATTTTTCTAGGTGATGAGATGCTTATCTCCTCTTAAATAAGATATTAAGAATTATAAAATTATCAGCTTGATCAAAATCTAATATGATCTATAGTCACCATGAATGCTATTAAAACATTCTAAGATTCTACCAACATGTCTATTTAAATTTTCTTCAATAAACCTTTTTTTCAAGAGATCATTTGCATTAATTCTTTTAAGTCATTTTAAAATTTTAATTTTGAACACATCCAAATCTATTTGAGTATACACACTTATAATATTAATAATCTTAGTGTCAATAATAATCTTTAAAGTTATAATTTTATCTTCAATTCTATTAATTTTTACAATATTATCTTTCAAACTCTTATCTATAATTATATCTACATCATTTTTAGTGCGACTCTTACATGAATGTCAATAATAATCTTTAAAGCTATAATTTTATCTTCAATTCTATTAATTTTCACAATATTATCTTTCAAACTATTATCTATAATTATATCTACATCATTTTTAGTGCGACTCTTACATGAATGCTATAGTTTTAGTCCTAAACTATCAATCTCCTTAGGTTCTTCAACCTATTTAATTTCTTGAATGCAAAGAAATATCAATCTTCTTATGAATCATAATATCTATTAATTTGTAGGTAAGAGGACTTATATTTCAAGTTTTTATTCTAATTTAACTTTCGTGGATTAGCTTCTTTGCCGACATCCGTTCGTGATGGGGAAACCCTTGCTTATTTAACATAGCACCCGGGTGCTGGTGCAACGGCCATTGCTTACTTCTCGTTGTATTCAGGCCATATAACACATCGCTTTTAGGGAGTCAAGTATTGATATGCGATTATTATTTTTCTACAACCTTGATTTGCAAAGCCAAATCATACCACATTGATTGATTTATTTTTTTTTTCTCATGCATTTTTAAAAACATATGCTTAACCAATACGAGCTTTTCGCCTATCTATGCGTTATATAAGGAGGTGATTACATGATTTTGAAGAACTTCATTCATTTTTCTCCTTCATTCAGTTAGGTATAGGGATAGAAGCTGGAGAGATGGCCAATGGAGTGATTGAAGTTTGGTCTATCTTGGCTAGTTCATTTAGAGGAATTTCTCTATTAGGTTATTGACAATGATACTGAAGGGGTAAAGGTGACAATTGGAAGCCAAAGACTTTCAGAAGAGGAAATTAGTGACTATTATAGGGGTTGGTTATCAACATGGTGGTCTGACATACGGGGTGACAGTTTTTTTCATATTGGGTGAGCATAACAAGTGGAGTTGTGTTCTATTTTTGAAAAGGCATAAGTGAGAGAAAGTGAAGAATACTTGTGAGATAAAGGTAAGGATTGATCTGTTTAATTGCAAAAACTTCAAGTATTAGAAGGTGCATATCGAGGGTTACCTATATCTCTTTTGAGTCAAAGATGACAACTCGAAGCCTTCATTAATATATCTCTTTTGAGTCAAAGATTTCTCGAACAAAAAAGTGTTACTGACAAAGAATGCTACCATTAATATATTTGCATGAGAGGATTTTAATTGGCATGATGAAAGCTTTATTAGATATGTATGAGAAGCCTTCATTGATCACAGCACCGTCTATCAATGATGTCTAAAGGCACTCTCACAGCACCATATAATTGAGTTTAATTTGATCACAAGTTAGTTGTGTAAAGTTGATATCAACTTTGATGACAAAATTCTTGCATTGAGCTTGTGATCATGTGAAAGAATAGTACTTGTCAGCAGTTCATGTGAAGCTCAATGATGTTTGTGACCGAATCTTAACTGAAGACGTGAGGTGAACAAGGAGTAGTTGAAAATTCTTTTGCTGCTTTGAATGTTAAGTTAGAATTCAGTTCAGTCTTGGTAGAGGAGCCAATCAAAAGGTTCCAGTTGTGTATGTTGGTGATATAACAAGGTTTTCTAACCTCTCGCTCGTTCTGTGGCGTCTCCCCCGCCATTCTAGGGCTGGCCTAAGGGGCGTCCCTCCAGCGGCGTCCTCCGCCGTTTCGCTCAGGAAAGTATTCCTTTCCCTGTCTCTTTCGTTCTTTTTGTGTTGTTTCGTTTTTATTTTCCAGCCGTTTGTGGCTGGAATGGAGCCGAAGCACCTGTTGGATCATGGTTTTTTGTCTGGTTCCAATTATTCACATTCTTTCGCCGAAGCATTAGCTGGTTCTCCGTCTAATGTGTGTTTCCCGGAGCTTAAGTCTTCGTCTTACCGCAGTCTGCCCTCTCTGTGGATATCTGAGGAAGAAATTCGGGCCCTTGTTGCTCCTTTTCAGTTTTTGCTTGTCTGTTTATTTCCATCCCGACGGCCTAGTCTAGACTCCATAAGGAGATTTTTTTTTCAATCTGAAGCTTATAGCTGATTTTTCGGTTACTTTGCTCGATTCTACGCACATCTTGGTTAAGCTTTCGAATGACCTAGATTATGGTTGGGTTTTCAGCCATCGTTCATACTTGGTTTACAACTGCTATATGAAATTAACTAAATGGTCTCCTTCTTTGGATATCAGTGCTGAATGCCTGGTTATTCCTATTTGGATCTCTTTCCCCGGTCTTTGTCCTCACCTCTTTAACTCGAGGATTCTTCATGCGTTAGGGTCGATCTTTGGTCACCTGCTTAAGGTCGACTCTGCCACTTCTTTGGGCTCTAGACCGTCTATTGCGAGAGTCTTGGTTGAGATTGATATCACGAAAGTTATCCGGACAACGTCTGGATTGTTCCTGAGAAGCTTGGTTATATCCAAAATGTTGAAATGGAGGAGTTCCCCCCTTTTTTTGCTCAATGTCGGTCTAAAATTGTTGTCCCTTTTTCTGTACCTGTTAAGCCCTCTTGTTCTGTCAAGGATTTTGATCAGGGGGAGGCCACTGGGGTTGCTGTGCTTCGGCCTATTGTTGTCTCCTTGGTTAACTCTCCTGCTGTCAATAATTTGGAATTAATGTTGGACCCCAATGTCATTGTCGGGTGGGTTAATGTTGTTTTGGCTGAGGAGGGTGTTTTGCTTTTAACTTTGGCTTGTTCTAAGGCTTCTATTGAGCTTGATTCTTGTAGTAAGGATAATGCTGAAGTTGATCATGCTTGTAGTCCTGTTGATGTTGCTGTTGGGAATAGTGATGCAGATGCTGTTGCGGATCAATTAGCTGAGTTGCCTCCCCCAGTTTCTGTAGAGGTCTTGCCTATTGGGCCTGTGTCTTCGTCTCACGTTGTGGTTGATTTGTTGAGTTGTGCTGTTGTTTCAAATTCTAACAAGTTGGGTAGTCCTAGGGGTGTTCCTATTACTATTTATGTGGACGGTTTAAAGGAGAAGAATAATGTTTTTGTGAGATTAATAGGGATGTTGGGCATGAGCTGTCTTGCGGTTCAGTCCACCCTGTTTCTCCTCTTACTCTAGTGGATTTGGTTGTGGTTGCTTGTGAAGTGGTACCTACTGCTTCTTCTCCTACTGTTCAGGTCTATGGCCAGCTTGTAGAGGTCCCTATCAATTTAATTTCTGCTAATGATTTAGCTGCCCATGTGGGTGATAGACCGGGGGACAGTGTTAGATGGAAAACCGATTGGCTTGAATGCTCATCTTCTTCTGAGGTTGAAGAAGTGCATGCGGGTAATCAGGATATTATTTTGCGAGATGATCAATTTTGGGTAAATAAATGTCGGAAGCAGAAATCTAAACGATAACCTTTTTTGGTTGTGCTATCCTTGGTTGGCCTTTGATGCTTTTTATGGATGATTTCCTTTTTGGCCCTGCGGATTATTGCCCAATCTCTCCTTTGGATGGTCCGTGCATGGATTTGGAGTGATTGGTAGTCTGTGCCTTAACTGAGCCCGCTGGTTTTATGTTCCTTTTTCTTCTTGTTTGAGCTTCCCACGGATATCTTCTTTTGTATCCGGTTTTTATTTCCGGGCTTATGCTGGGTTTTCCTTGATGTACTCCTTTTTTTTTATTTATGGAATAAAATTATTATCTTTTGAAAAAAAAAGAAAAAGAAAGGAAAAGGTTTGCAACATGAAAATAGATTGTTTATAGAGAAATATGATGGACAGAGTTTGAATCAGATGGAGGAATTTATGTCTATTGAACGTTAAATCTTGGACTTGGGTATATCTTTTCATTGAACTTCACATAAAGAGTTTATATTTAGTTTATATTTAATTATTTTGTAGGAGTTATCGAGAATGTTGATTCATGTTGGGAATTCATAATGTGCGGCAGATTTTTCACTTGAAGCGGAACCTAATATTTGATTGTGCAGCTTATTGATGAAGATTATTGACTTGAAGAGGAACCTAATATTGATTGTGCAGCTTGTTGATGGTGATTATGTCTCATCCTTTAGCACTAATGCTTGAAAGTGGAAAACATTTATTTCTGAGACAATTGCATCTGTTCAGCTATCTTTAGTTGATTATTATGAGGCTAGTTTTTTAATTTTGAGCTTGATCGATAGTGTTGATTGTTGAATCTTTAGTTGTCTAAGTAAAGTTGTGAAATTAGTTTTCATTAATTTTGGGCTATAAAATTTTTCATTTTTATAAATTACTTGCGCACGGTAACATAACTATTCCACTAGATATAGACACCCAACTCATTTTAACTTCACGAATCTGCAGGTCACTCTTCTTGGCACCTCTGGAATTTCTGGTTCTTATGTTGAACAAAGAGCTTGAAGAAAATGGCAATTCAGTTGCCTGAAAGATTTTGCTGTTTCCTAGGGGCTCTCTCTCTCTCTCTCTCTCTTTCGCTCTCTCTCTGAGAGGAGGCACACACAAATTCCCCTCTTGCAAATAAAGCATGGAGAGTGAGTAATTTGATATTTTCTTATTTTGTCCCTTGTTCTGCAAACTAACACTGAAATTTTGTAAAATAATTTGATTATATCGCTGCACTCTTTAGTTGAGCCTATATCTATCTGTTTCAGGGATATTAATGTTAAGTTAAATGCATTATACTTTACAACGTATTTGTTCATAGCAGAATCTTATACTGAGCATGATATTTGCTCATATCATAACAAGCCAAAAACATGCTCGTTACCTCAACCCAATTTATTTCTCGGCGCTCTGCAATATTCGTAATTTGTTACGTCTTTCCTTGAGAAATAGTAAGCTGTTTGAATTAATTGAAATAATATATTTTTTTCAACTTAAAAATGTTTCTTTTGGGGGAAAATCTCTTAACATAGCTTGATACATATTGGGTCTAATTTTAATTTTATTATAAAATCACGGTATAATCTGCTTTCTCTTAATTTTCATATAATTCTGTGGTTCTCTTATACTGCCATTATTGTATTTTTTAATATTTAAGACTTTAATTTTATTATCTAATATTTTATTTAAATTTATTTATTTTATCATGCAGTTATTAAAAAAATATTTCAGAAAATTTATCCAATTTTGTAGTTTTAAATTTTTTCTATCATTTTTTTTTCTAGTATGATTATATTTTATTGATGTCAAATAAATTAATTGTATTTATTTTTAAAATCACTTCTTTTTATTTAATAGTTTAATTTTATTTAAGGATGGTATTTCTTCTGTAAAATGAATGATACGTCTCATAGAGTTTTCGGCCAAAATTATCTTTAAATCACTAAGATTTAAAATAACAATGAACCACATTTAATGAGCATCGACATTGAGACAAAACAACATGCCGCGTACCATTTAACTCTGTCGTACATATATCATGCATTGATCTTAACAGTACAAGGAGAGCAATAAATAATATTAAATGCTATAATAATTAATCAATTTAATGCTTCCTTCTGTATGAGGTTTTTTTGTAAGTTTTTCCACAATTTTTTAATAAGATGTTTTTTTCATAAATCAAATTTGTTAGAATAAAATATAATTTTCTTCAGAAAAAAAAGTTATAATATTTTTAACATTAAAATATTTTATTTTTAATAATTATTTCACAACTAATTATTTGACAGACAGCTGTAGCCTGCCACCCAATTAATAAATTTTAGCTTGTATTTATTCATGTAGGAACTCGCTTCGGCCCGCGGACTTTTAATAGCAATTTATGACTCTCCTAAACTTATTTGCAAAGAGTCCGTTTTTCGTGCAAACTATTTGATTGTCGATAAAAGAGATTTTAATAAACATTATTATTATTTAAAAGTAAGCTTCATTCTAGTCAAATCATTTTTTTCCTGGGTAACAAAAGATTTAATAAAATTTTTTTTGTATTCTTTTTTTTTAAATAACAATTTTATATTTTAGAAAACAAATAAATAATTTATTAAAATAATTTGTCTTATTTTATAAATACGAAGTTTTAATGTTATTACTAAAATTTAATATGAAGTTATGATATACAGAAAGAAGTTATGATATGACATGGCCCTAATCAGAGCTTCACATAAATTTAAGAGGATGGCAACATTTATTGTCATGTTGCCATTTAAGTTCAATATCCATCTCCTTTGTAAGTTTCTGATTAAGTTACATATTCGTACAAATTTTAAATCCGAAAAAAGAATCATTACTCCACGATTATGATCGTCATGCGAAATAATTTCTCAGGATTTATTAAACCTACTTGTAGCCAAAACATTATATATATATATTATATTGTAAACAGTGATATAAAAATATTCATATGATAATTGAAAATTAAGTGATACTTGGTTGCTTCGTCGAGAAGTCCGGCAGCCGGCAGACGAGAGAGGGGGCACGTGATGAAGTTCAAAAATGGAAAAAAAAAGGTGTAACTTGGTTCCTAAGAATGCCGACCAAGCAAGCCATGCCTTAATTAATTCATTTGCACTCATTTACAAAAAAAAATAAAAAAAAAATAAAAAAAGATTATTACGCCACACACTGGGATAACTACAGCTCGAAATCTCGATCTATATATATTTTATTGTATTACATCAAATAAAAAAAAAATTACAATTTCACATAGCCCCAAACAAATAAAAATATTATTATAGATTAAAATATTCGATTGGCATGCAGGTTGCTTACCGGAGCTGTTGTGGTATCTTACGGGCGGCGAAGATGACGGCGGTAGTAGGACTTGAGGAGGGCCCCACAGAAGGTGCAAATGATGGCACGCCACGTCCTCCGGTAGACAGGCACGTAGCAGAACCTGGTGGCGGTCTCCATGTCGGCGACGCTCGCCCCGCCGCCACATCTCGAGCAGATCCCGGCAGCCGGCTTCGAGCTCCTCACCATCTCCCTGGTGTCCACCAAGAAGCAGAAGAATACCATCCCCTCCTCTCTGCCCTCCGCCGCCTCCTGAATTCAGCCGCTTTTGTGTTTTTTTTCCTTTTACGATTTGGATTTCAAGGCGCGACGAAGAGGATGTGAGGAGGGGGAAGGAATATTTATTGGCTTTAGAGACCGTCGGATGCTTACCACGTGGATGGATCTGCCTCCCGGGTCGAACTCATGGGAACCGCGTTTTTGCGGACGTCTCAGTTAACCGTTAGTAGATGCATCCTTACCTACTATTATTAATGAGCCAGTCTTCATGAGAAGGCGCCAGCCAAGAATTGAACGCTGCAATTAACTCTCACCTAGGGGTGTCAATTATTGACCCGACCCGAATCCGACCCGAAAAATTCGGGTTAGGGTCAACCCGTTTAACAAACGGGTCGAATTCGGGTCTCAACTTTTGACCCGTTTAAAAAACGGGTCGGGTCCGGGTCAACCCGGTAACCCGAAATTGACCCAGTAACTCACTCATTTAGTCATTTTTTAAGTTTTCCCGCGTGGGTCACGACGTCATGTAGCCTGGCGAATTGTCCGCGTTCGGCGTGCAACGTCCGCAGTCCGCACCTACTAGGCCTGTCCGCATCTAGCGTGACTCACGATGCGTCGACGCCTGTCCAGTGTCAGCACCAACGCCGGACCGCCTCAGCCCCCGATCCCCGGATCGCGCTGCCGCTGGCATTTTCTGGCTGGCTGGCTTCGGTGACGTCCGCACCGACTGGCGACCGCGAACCTCCGTGCAGCCAGCGACTCCGGCACCGCCTCCGTCTCGCCCCGTTTTTGAATCAAACGGGTCCGCGGGTCGGGTCGGGTCGGGTCAACTCGGGAACCCGTGCGGGTCGGGTCTGAGTTTAATTTCCTGACCCACTTAGCTAAACGGGTCGGGTTCGGGTTGACCTGTTTATACACGGGTCAAGGCGGGTTCG